TTTTCTTCACAAGCAGTAGAATCTCTTTTGCTATATAAACAAAACTACAAAAAGTACTTAGGTCCCCACATTAGTCCATAAATGCCTATTTAAGCCATATTATAGCTGAAAACTTATAATTACATAATACTACGGTTTCTAGAAACATTACCAATCATCACAGTGATATCTGGATTAAAGAAATACTGAGAACGAAGCTCCTTTATAATTAAGTTAATTGCTTAAATTTTTTTCCCTGTAAATTGCAGTAGGAAGAGGAACTTGCAAGCCCTAAGGCGCGAACACCTCAGGACAAAACTACTTTTTGACTCCACCCACTTGAAGATGAACAGCAAAACGGCAAGTATACAAAGCTGGTGTCTGCAACTTCCCTCTCTTCTTGCTGGGCCCTTCATCTCTTCCCCCTATCTTTTTTTTTTTTTTTTTTTTTTTCCCCCTATCTTTGACATTCAATACTCCTCACCCCTCCTCCTAGTTCCAAAGAAAACAAGACCTTTTATATCTGTTGACTAATTACTGCCTCACTTTAAATTAAAATATTACATTTACATGAAAATGTTAATTAAACCAGACATTTTCTAAGACATTCTCCCAAAACCTGAAATGAGAATTAGTTTCCCTGCAAAGAACTTCTGGTAGGAACAAGCTGGTAAGCGGAGAGGCTTTTGTTTTGTTTTTACCAAAAGACCCTCTCAAATCATAGTAAACCCACCCCATGGCAAATTGAATTTAGTCAGTCCTCTCAGGGTAATACATATCTAGGAGGACAGTGAGAGAAAATAAGGAACTGTTATTAATTTTGTTAGGCGTGATAATGGTACTATGTCTAAAGATATCCTTATCTGTTAGAAATTCATACTGAGGTATTTGGACGAAATGATGTGATACCTGAAATTTGCTTCAAAATACTTTAGTTGGAAAGAGGACATGGGGGAGGGGAGATGAAACAAAATACTGATAATTGTTGAGGGTAAGTGATAAGGTACATGAGAGTTCATTATTCTTTTCTGCTTTATGTATATATAAAAATTTCCGTAGTAAAATACTTTTTAAAAGAGAGAAACTGTTCTGTTCCTCTCAGGCAGTCTTTCGTTCCTTCACTTTTCCTTCGTAACACTTACTGTTGTCACTATATATTTCTTTTTTTAAGTTAATTTTTAAAAATTTATTTATTTTATTTATTTATTTTTGGCTGTGTTGGATCTTCGTTGCTGCACGTGGGCTTTCTCTAGTTGCAGTGAGCGGGGGCTACTCTTCGTTGAGGTGCGCAGGCTTCTCATTGCGGTGGCTTCTCTTGTGTGGAGCACGGGCTCTAGGCGTGCGGGCTTCAGTAGTTTGGCACACGGGCTCACTAGTTGTGGTCTGCGGGCTCTAGAGCGCTGGCTCAGTAGTTGTGGCGCACGGGCTTAGTTGCTCCGCAGCATGTGGGATCTTCCCGGACCAGGGCTCGAACCCGTGTCCCCAGCATTGGCAGGCAGATTCTTAACCACTGCGCCAACAGGGAAGCCCTAAATTAATTTTTATTGGAGTCTAGTTGCTTTACAATGTTGTGTTAGCTTCTACTGCACCGCAAAATGAACCAGCCATACATATACATATATCCCCTCCCTTCTGGATTTCCCTCCCATTTAGGACACCACAGTGCATTAAGTAGAGTTCCCTGTGCTATACAGTATGTTCCACTCAGTTGTCTATTTTATACATAGTATCAATGGTGTATATATGTCATCCCTGTCTCCCAATTCCTCCCACTCCACCCCTTTCCCCCTTGGTATCTAGACATTTGTTCTCTACATCTGTGTCTCTATTTCTGCTTTGCAAATAAGGTCATCTATACCATTTTTCTAGACTCCACATATATGTGTTAAAACACGATATTTTTCTCTTTCTGACTTACTTCACTTTGTATGACACTCTCTAGGCCCAGCCACATCTCTACAAATGACCCAATTTCATTCCTTTTTATGGCTGAGTAATACTCCAGTGTATCTATGTACCACATCTTCTTTATCCATTCCTCTGTTGATGGGCATTTAGGTTGTTTCCATGTCCTGGCTATTGTAAATAGTGCTGCTATGAACATTGGGGTGCATGTGTCTTTTTGAATTATGGTTTTCTCCGGGTATATGCCCAGTAGTGGAATTTCTGGGTCATATGGTAGTTCTATTATTAGTTTCTTAAGGAACTTTCATACTGTTCTCCATAGTGACTGTATCAATTTACATTCCCACCAACACTGAAAGTGGGTTCCCTTTTCTCCACACCCCCTCCAGCATTTACTGTTTGTGGATTTTTTGATGATGGCCATTCTGACCGGTGTGAGGTGATACCTCATGTCACTATATATTTCTAAGATTATTTTATTAATGTTTGTCTCCCTGACTAGACTTTAAGCTGCATGAGAACCACAAAGGTGTTCTGTTTAGCTCCTTTAGAATCTCTACCACCTCACAGTTTCTGGCATGTGAGAGGCATCCAACAAATATTTATTAAGTAAATAATGGAGTCAATAAAATTAAGTCATATCATGCCCCCAGATAAATAAATACTCAGTAAATAAAAAGGGGGATGGTAGGCAGTCAGGGACCTTTGGTTGAAGGAATTTAACATATTTACCTATATGTATTTACCATTTAAGTTCATATGCTTTTCTATTAAAAAATGTAGTAAAGGTGTCACAAAATAGATTTAACTTCCTCTAGATAATCCTCACTACGTTCATGTGATTACTCAGCTAAGAACTACACCCTCCACTTCATGATGTGGAAACTATAGAACTGAAAAGTTGTGAAATATTTTCAAGGGCATAATGAACCAGATGCACAAATGAACAAAACTCAGCTCTGTCCTAATGCCTCAAGCCTCATGCTGTTCCCAAAGGAACATGATTTTATTCTCAAGAAAAAGAAAACAATAAAAATATAAAAATAAGAGTACTGTATATGTTAATTCAACTTTCAGTGGCTGAGAAACTGAATAGCTAGCTGTATAACAGTCTTAGATTAAAATATTTTATTTTAACTTCACCTAAAACAATTTCAAGGTTGAAGCACCTAATGGTAGAGGAAGTATTAAAAACATAAGGTGAGGCATTTAGGCAATAGAGAACAGAAGAAAGCATGACACGAGTAACCTGAAGGCCTTTTTTTTTTAAAGCTGGTTAAATTGAAACAGTATGGTGAGGGACAACTAACAAGAAAATTCATAAAGAAATTCATAAAGAGAATAAATACTAATACCAAGACAATGTTTAAAACACCAGCGTACCCGGTTCCCAAGTTTTAAATTTATTTATCTCAAATATAATACTATAATCAATAAAGATTTCTCCTTAATCATTATTTTATATAGAAATAGCCTACTAAAATACCACTATGCCCCCAAATTCTTTTGAAATGCTTAAAACCTGCGTTTACCTTAATTTGGTAATAGATAATGATGCACACATTCAGGAAGGCAGAAACACCAAATGTTTCCCATTAACAGAAGCATGACTATTTGTAAAACTAATCTTAACTCAGCCAATCTGAAAGCTCTTGTACTATGGTGCCAAAAAAAGTCACAACCACACCTGTGGAGAACAGTGAGAACCAAATGAGTCACAAAAGTCTGCCAAAAAGTCTGCCACGAAATCGAATAAATAAATAGCTAGACAGTTTTAGTTAAGAAAAAACATTTAAAATATCTCAATAAACTTATTTTGAGTACAGAGTCTGTAAAGATTTTTTTTTTTCCTCTTACATAAAGGGTTACAAAGAGGTATAACTCTGGCCTGGGTTGAATTCTAGACTGGGTGGCTCTACTGTTACTCAAGGCACAGTTACTACTGGTGGAGCTGCTACAAAGACTCAGAACGTTCCGTTTTACTCCTGTACTCTTCATATCATGGGCTGTCAATCATGCTTCCAACTTGCAGTACATCACTCATTGCAGAATAACGATTCACATATGCTATTTCCAAACAAAAATGTAAGATTTACTTGCCCCATGACGCTTTCTTCTCAACTTTTAAAATAATTGATAAAAGCACCAGCTGAGCATGAATTCCCATCCTAAAATAATCTATCAATAGCTTTAAGCCTTTTAAGGTAAGCGGTAAAGAAATACTGTCCTCTGAATGCAGACAACACTGCAGACCCACGCGAGGCATTGATTTGTAGTTGTTTTTCCACTGGGGTGATGGATTTGCGCTCAGCTACTCACGGTGTCTACTAGGTCCCCCTGGTGACCAACAGTACATGAAGACAGTAGTAGGGTTCGAAGACACAGACTGGCAGCGGAACAGAGGGTGGAACGGGAAATCATGAAAAATTAACACGCCAACAGTACACATGACATGACTGAAAATTACGTTTGCATTGTTGGGGTATCTGAGATCGGCCAAGACACTGTCCCCTTCCTTTTAAAACGCAAACATCCATCCGCCTCGCTTGGGCTTCGGAGCCCTACCTCCCATTTAAATCACGGGTGTGACGGAGAGACCGAACCAAGGGGTTCAGCCCGAGGCACATGCCGCTTCTCCAGGATTTGGGGAAAACACTGACGTGACAAATTACCATAATTTTCTAAAATATGGAGGAATGACACACCACCTTTCCTACCACCTACTGAAGACTCAGGACAGAGTCGAGAACAGCCGCCCTGAGGGGCCCACCACGGAGGGGGGAGGAGAGCACCGGCCCAGGGAGAAGACGGCGGCACGTCCCGAGCCCAGACTACGGAGCCCCGAACGCGAGGGGCGTAGGGTCGCACCCGGGTCACGTCCCGGGGCTCTCAGGATGAGAGGGGCGCGAGGGCGAGCCCGGGCCGGCCGACATGCGGGGGGCGGCGGGACAGCGGCTGGGGCTGCGGCGCCCGGGCGGCGGGGGAGGGCGCGCCGCCAGGTGCCGGACGGCAGGGGGCAGCGGGGTTCGGGCGGGCGCCGGACCCAGGGAGGGAGGAGGGAGGCGGGCGAGTCCCGCGCAGAGAGAGGGCGCGCGGCGGGCTCGCCGCCGGCCTACCTGGAGGTAACAGGGTTTCCTTAGCCAGGCCCCCGGACAGAGACTCCTCGCCATGGTAATCACACATCGCCCCGCCGCGCCGCAGTCAGAGGCGGACCCGAGCGCTGGCGACCCGGCTCTCCGCCTTCCCCCGCCCCCAGCTCGGCCGGGCCCGCCCACTCCTCCGCCCCCGCGGCGGCGCGCGCCGCGCTTCCCCCGGCCCTGCTGCGGTGACTGCAGCCGGCTGCCCGAGGCCCGGCCTCCTTCTCTCCTCGCCGGGCTGCCGCGGCTGTCAGAGCCGCCGCCGTCTCCGGCATAAAGGGGAGTCGCGCCTCGCCTCGGCCGACACAAATCCAACTGCGCCTCGCGCTTAAAGGGGAGGCGTGCGGAGGAGGGGTGGGGCGCCGCGGAAGAGGGGGTGTCGCACGCTCGGCGCCAGAAGGGGCTGGTCGAGCCGGGTGAGGGCTTGCGCCCCGCGGACGGGAGAGACCAGCGCTCAGACATCGCCGACCTGAGTGCCTGTTCCCGGCTTCCCGCTCCCAACGCTGCGCGTCCCCACCCCGCCCGGAGGGTCTGACGCTCCCTTTGGACTCCGCTCCTTCAGGCCGGACGTGTCTGGGCGGGTTGCGTGGAAATTCAAGGGAAGCTTGGGGCTCCTTCCCGGGGGACCGGCTTTTTCTCCTTGGAGCACGGTGGTCCGTTTGGCCGCGGGAGGCGCCGGCGGGCGCATCCCCTGAGCGAACGCAGACGGGGCTCCCTTCTGCTGAAGTCAACGTGCCCGCCAAATACAGTTCTCTGACGGCCTTCAACTTTTTTCCTGAGTACTTTTTAGCAAGTCTGACCTTTTGGGTCTGTATTGTTTTCAGACAGCTTCAGAGTTTTCCTGGCCCCACCCAGGAACCCTGAGTCAAAAGAAAAAAGAAAAATATTACTGAGTTAAATACAGTACTGAAGACAGGAGACCTAGGACGTGGCATAGCTACTCAGTTAAGGCTACATAACACAGGGTGTGGTGTCTTTCTTTTGACAGTGAAGTCCAAATAAGGGAAAAAACAGCCACCCTAGCGGGAGAACAGCTGTTGATCCTAGTAACTTGTAATGGAGGAAGATATGTTTTTGCTTCTTTTTACCCGGTATACCACCTTTTCACGTGACGCCAACAAAGTTTAGGTGGCCACTTAGAACTCATTCGGGCCTGTTGCTCTGACAAGAGGTTTCCCCAGAAGCAAACCTTTACTCACTATTACTGTGGTTTTTACCTAAGCTTTGTTCTAGTGCTTTCTGTTTATGAAGAGATGCTTTCTTGTCCGCCCCCACCCCTCCCCGTCCAAGCACAGACACAGGTTTAAAACCTGTGTCGTATTTTATTACCACGTATAAAACTCAGAGGAAAACATAGGAAGACCACTCTTTGACATAAATCACAGCAAGATTTTTTTGATCCACCTCCTAGAGTAATAGAAATGAAAACAAAAATAAATGAGACTTAATGAAACTTAAAAGCTTTTGCCCAGCAAAGGCACATAAAGAAGATGAAAAGACAACCCTCAGATTGGGAGAAAATATTTGCAAACGAATGAATGGACAAAGGATTAATCTCCAAAATATATAAACAGCTCATGCAGCTCAATATTCAAAAAACAACCCAATCCAAAACTGAGCAGAAGACCTAAAAAGACATTTCTCCAAAGAAGACATACAGATGGCCAAGAAGCACATGAAAAGCTGCTCAGCATCACTAATTATTAGAGAAACGCAAATGAAAACTGCAATGAGGTATCACCTCACACCAGTTAGAATGGGTATCATCAGAAAATCTACGAACAACAAATGCTGGAGAGGGTGTGGAGAAAAGGGAGCCCTCTTGCACTGTTGGTGAGAATGTAAATTGATACAGCCACTATGGAGAACAGTATGGAGGTTCCTTAAAAAACTAAAAATAGAACTACCATATGACCCAGCAATCCCACTACTGGGCATATACCCAGAGAAAACCATAGTTCAGAAAGACACATGCACCCCAGTGCTCACTGCAGCACTATTTAGAATATCCAGATCATGGAAGCAACCTAAATGCCCATCGACAGATGAATGGTTAAAGAAGATGTGGTACCTATATACGGTGGAATATTACTCAGCCATAAAAAGGAACAAAATTGGGTCATTTGTAGAGACGTGGATGGACCTAGAGACTCATAGAGTGAAGTAGGTCAGAAAGAGAAAAACAAATATCGTCTATTAGTGCATATATGTGGAATCTAGAAAAATGGTACAGATGAACCAGTCTGCAAGGCAGATATAGAGACATAGATGTAGAGAACAAACGTATGGACACCAAGGGGGGAAAGTGGCAGGGGTGGGTGCTGGTGGTGTGATGAATTGGGCGATTAGGATTGATGTGTATACACTGATGTGTATAAAATAAGTAACTAATAAGAACCTGCTGTATAAAAAATAAAAATTAAATTAAATTTTAAAAAACACTGTGTGGTATTTTATTGCTGACAAATAAACCCGTGTTTCATTGATTTTCAGTTTGGGTTAAGAGACTAAGGAATTTCTAAGTATGATAAGTACTGGTTTAATTCCTTCTTTCATTCATTCAATAAATAAATATTAATTGAGCACCCAGACATTGTTCTAGTTGATTGGTTATATACTTGAGCAAAATACAAAAACCCCAGGGCTTGTGGATATTACATAAGTATAAGTAATAAATAATAAGTAATAAATGTAATAAACAAGAAAATCAAATAGGATAATAAAGCTGATAGGTGATATGTAAAAAAGAAAACAAACCAATGGAGATAAGGAAGACTAAAGGTAGAGTTGCTTTGGGGAGAAAGATCAGGAATTCAGTTTTGGACTTTGTTACATTTGAGATATCTATTAGAAATTCAAGTGGAGACCTTGAGTAAGCAGTTGTACATATGAGTCCGGGGTTAAGAAGGGTGGTCCAAGCTAGGGATATATGAGAGATAGCTGCATTTTTTTTAAAGATGAGAGTTATGTTTTATTCGGTCCCGTTACTGAGGACTGCAGCCCAGAAGACAGACAGCTCTGAGGAACTGTACCAAAGAGGTAAGGGAGGAGCCCAGATATATAGGTGTTTTTACCAGTTCAGTAGTATGATCTAAAAGTCATCAGAAACTTATATTTGTCAAAGTGGAGAGGTGTCAGCATTTAAATGATATTTAAAGCCACAAAACTAGACAAGATCACCAAGGGAGTGAGTACAAATAGAAGAGAAGCAAGGAGGAAACCTTGCAACTTCAAGGCAGGAGAGTGGATGAGCCAGCAAAGGAGGCTGAGAAGGAGCAGCCAGTGAAGTAGGTGAGCCAAGAATGAGGTGCCTGGCAGCCAAGTGAATATAATGTTATCAAGAAGGTGTGAGTGCTCAGTATGTGAGTGAGGACTGAGAATTGACTATTGGATTTGGTGCCATGGAGTCACTGGTAATATTTCAGTGGAGCAAAAGGGGAAAAATTTGATTGGAATGGATTTAAGAAAAAAATGGGAGGAGAGGAATTGGAGATAGCTAATATTATAGGCAATTCTTTTGAGAAGTTTTCCTGCAAAGGGGAGCCCCAAAATGGTGATGGGGACCCCACTACCACAGTATTTGGTGGTGGAAGTGGAGCCAAAAGTGAGTTGGCCAAAAAATTGGGAGAAATATTTGTTTTTGATGAGAATGATCTAGAAGAGAAGGAAAATTTTACGAAGGGGCAAGAAGGGAGAATTGCTGTAGCAGTGTCCTTGAGAAAGAAAGAGTTTAGAACCTAGCACACAAATGAAAGGATTATCTATAGACAGGAGCACAGTCTGTTCATCTATGGAAACTGGCAGGCAGGTGGTAGAAGTGGTGGTGGGAATCTGTGGAAGTTCTCTTCTGACTGTTTCAGTTTTCTCAGAGACATAGGAAGTCAGGTCATCAGCGGGGAGGAGATTCAGAAGAGCAAGGGAAGGTGAAGAGAGAAGCGAAGGTGCGAAATAGTCATCCAGGAGAATGGAAAGATGAATAGACTAGGAAAAAAATATCATATGCTTGCTGAGTGTCATTAAGGGCCCACTTGAGTTCATGGTCATAAATTTAAGTGGGATAAGTCAGTGTGCTTGTGCTTTTTTTCCTCCAGCAATAATTGACTGCCAGGGTGCAGGCTCAGAGTAGGCTTAGAATTCTATGTAATCAGGTTTTACCAAGGAAATAAGAGCAAGGAGAGAGGACCAAGGAAGTCAAGGATGTAAGTAAGGGAGTGATTATGATTCACCGTGGAGTTTAAAATGAGGGAAGAGTAGACATGGAGAGATTAAGGACAGAAAAAGGTGGTAGGATCAGTGAATTGCCAGTCCTTGTGGGGTTGAGGGACTGTAGGAGTCAGAGAACAAGGGGGAATGATCTGAAAAGATAGGTATAACATAAAGGGTCTAGCTCCATTTTTGATACTCAATGACAGCTATCAAGCCCCACCACTTCTCTTTTCTCTGTGCCCCACATCTGGGAAAACTGATAAGAAAGCCCAGGTGCTTGCTCCTTTGGTGTCAGTGGGAAGTTCAAACTATGCAAGACCCAGTCCATGTGAAGGACCATTCACCCTGGCCCCATCCACTCCCAACCACCATAAACCCTAAGAAAGTCTCCTTTCTCTGCTCCCTCAAGCCATATTCAGACCAATTTGGAGCCTGCCCTGCTCTCCCCAGAAAGTTTCTTTATGTATGCAACAAACTTTTTCATACTCTGAAAAAGTTGGTATATGTGTAGCATCATCAGTCTTGACATCCAAAACAAAATTTAAGTAGAGGAATCTATCTCACTTCTGCAGAGTGACCACAACAATGTGGTAGTTAGAATGGGATGCATAAAATTAAGATTACGAAGAAGTGATGAAGTCTAGGGTGGAATCTGAAAATGGCAGTGAATGGCTGAGGAGTGTGGAATACAGTGTCACTAGAAGAGAGTCAAAGAGAGAGTATCATGAGGATTATCTATGTATATATTAAAAACAACAAGATTTAGGACAAGGGAGATGCTGGATAGGATGCCAGTAGTCAAAAGCTAAAGTCCTTGAGAAATAAGGCAGAGTGATCTATGAGCGGGTAGGGGACTACCACAATGAGGAGAGTGATAACATCAGAGGACATGAGTTAAAAAAACAA